TAGTTCTCTTATTAAAGAGACGGTTTTGTTCATCACTTCCTTGTCTGGCTATTTAATGAGTTCACCAAACACTTTTCGGCCGCATTACACGCACCGTTTCTGACAGTTACAGAAAAATTAACTACTCACAATGCACAAGTATTTGTGGGTAAAGGTTAAATACAGCTAAGCATCCATTTCTGGTAGAATATTTATCTCTTGTTACCATCAGCTATGAATTGGCTTATTATTTCATGTGACTTACGACATCTTATTAAGAATGAGGGAGAAAGGTTGTTGCAGTTAATTTGATGCAGCTTTTGTGACAGAGCTTTTATGAAATATCACTGCCATCAGGATTAGCTGGGATTATTTGCTGCTAACATCAAATAGGTACACACTCTTGCACTTTCAGATTTTGAATTTTAAATGCTAATGGCATTGAATATTATCAGAAAATGTTTTATAATAAATTTTAAACTTCTATAAATATAGATGAGCATTAAATGTCTGGCAGGTTGCCCAAGTATAAGCACACTGTGAGGTGCATGTTTAAATCAAACCTCAGTGGTTGAGTTTTATGAAAACATTTCTCCTTTGCAACAGCTGTGAAAGCAAATATGTGTGATGTTAAAAATTGAGATGTAACATTATTGATTGTTGGTTTTGTATCTGTTCTAGTATGTTTTGGTATGCAGAAGACACCTTATAGGTGACTTACAAAAATATGCAAAACACCAAATCTATTGTTTTTGTGAATGCGGTGTCATTATTGCTGTTTTCATTGTGGATTTGGGGTTTTGCTTTACATTTCACAGATAACTGACTTGATTCTTTTTAAATGTTTAAATTCCATAATTTTATGCTATGTGTGTATGCACTACATCACAAAGATTCATAGCTGCAAATCAGTGTTCAAAATTCTGAATCAATGTGTTTGCATCTAAACTGATAGAATGTAAAGTGTGCCCCACATTTTCAGTGTTTGTGCAGTTACAGTCATTTCCTGACTTCTGTCTTGTTCTTCTCTAGCCCTTTCCAATGGACAGCTCTGCATAAATCCAGATGCCTCCCCTCCCTCTTGATGAGCGCATAGTGGTCATCCAGCATCCTAAAAACTTGGCTCTGTGTGAGGCTTCCCCACAAACCATTGCACAGCATTCTTCTCAAATTTCAGTGTCCTCGAATGGACAAGTTGCCCACCCTCCTCATCTCCACCCTTCTCAGTCCCGTATCTATTCACCCTCCAATAAATCTCTGACTCTGTCATGCAGGTGCAGATCATCCCACACACAGAAATTCAAGGGTGACCAGCATATCATCCCAGCAGGTGTGAGACACATCCCAAGCCACTGTCATAGCAATGGCACAGTAACTCTCGGCCCACGGCTGCCCTCCCACACACATACTATTGATATCAGGGTGACAGTGGACAAAGGGGAACGGGGCAGAGGATTCAGCAGCTCATTAGGTCGCAGCGGAAGTGTTAAAGGTGGCAGAGAGAAATGTGCCTCTTTACAGTTGGATCAAGAACAGTGTGAGAGAACTGGAACTGCAAGGAGGTCAAGCTGTGCTGAACACAAGTTGCAGCGAAGTCGCCACAACCAGCTGTCATCTTCCCCAGGAGAGGTCATACAGTTCATCCCTGCTCAGGCTCAGCAGCATAAGTTCAGAAGTGAAAAGGCAAAGGAAAATGCTGGTTTACTTAACAGAAGTGACCAAGAATGTCCCTCTCTAGCTCACAAGAAGAAATCCAAACTGGGAACTGTTCATCAAAGCCATAATAGTCATAGTCCGCCCTACCACCACAGCTCTGTCCCAGTGCCCCATGCTGCCATCCTAAATGCCAACTATCCCCCATCCCCTTCCTCTCATCCCTCTCAACCCACCCATATTTCAGTTTTATTTCAGCAAGCCAGCCAGCCACACCTTCCCTGCACCAAGGATCACCACCCCCACATTCTTCATGGTCCGTCCCTCTCCCCCCGCTCCTCCCACACCGGAGGGTTCCCCAGCCCTGAGCATACTTGTACCATCGACTGCACTCACCCATTCAGTTGTGGCTGCTGGAGGCTGGTAAGATGCAGAGGGTGTAAAGCGTACTCTGATAGCTGCCAACGAGGTGGAGGAAGCTCTTCCACTTCATTTTCCTGTGTTCACAATGTCGGAGCAGTGAAGCGAGGAAGCAAAGACATGGGCCTGAGAAATCTGGGTGGGTGCCTCTCCACCACCTCCACTTCCAACACCTCCTCTTTGAACAGCACTGTGTCTGACTGCCAAGCCAACCTCTTCAAACCTCTCCGCTGTGCCTCCTGCTCTGGTGAGGCTGGAAACTTTGAGAGTCCTGCTATCCTCCGCAAAAAACTGGTAGGAGGATGCCTGCCCTGTACACCACTGTCCTCCTCAGCCCCTCTCCGGGCAATACAGAGGTGTGTCATGGGCTGCAACCTAAAAGCCTCTCAGACTGGCAGTTCTACCTGCAGCTACTGCAGCAGTGACCCTATAGTTGTTACATTCAACCCTCACCGAGGAAAACCCCCAGGAAGAAACATTGGAGCAGCACATTCAACAGGTATATTTCAAACCGATGATGATGACTATAGTGTGCATACTATCTGGCCTGACGAACTGGCCAAGAAAATGATACATTCTAAAGCCCAAAAGAATCACTGTGCAGGGATGGGAGCAGGGGTCGGGAAGACCTGTGCAAGCCAGGCCCAGAATGGTAGTACTGGAACAGGCCTTGCCTTCTTGGAGTGTCAAAACCTCCAGGAATATGCACAGTCTCAGCTTAAAGACCATGCAGGCCGGTGGCAACTCCAGCGGGGCAAAACACCTGCCTTTGATTTTACGGGCTGCAGGTCAGGATCTGGGTATGACAAAGGCCAGAACTCACTGAAAAGACTCTTGAATAAGGCAGAAGATGGAGGAATGGCTGATGGTATGATGCAAGATGGAGATGTAGCATATACTTGTTCTCCCACTCCTTGCTCTGCCTCCCCACCATCACCTGTGTCCTTTTCACCGCCACCATCTGCCCCTAGCACACTCGTCAAACCCAAACCCTGGCAGAGAGACAGGGAGGGAGGACACTCTCTGCCGTCAGCTCAGTCTCTTCACCTGACCTTGAACTCCCTCAACAGAGAGCAAGATGAGGAAAGCAGCAGAAGTAAGAACATCTTACAATGCACCTGTGACAATGTTGAAATATAGGCTACATAATAGATATTTCTATCCCCACTTCACACCCACCCACTTACAATTTAGCTTTCAGTTTCATAGGACCTACTTTTGATTTAGTTCACTGGTGATTATTTACATTAAATTTTGTTGCCATGCTATACATGTTCTCAGGTAGTATCCTTGTCTCTTCATGTTTTGTGGGCACAGTTTAAACTTTAACGTGGCCGTCTTAAGACATGTCTCCACCTTTTTTTTTTTTTTGATTTGATTTATTCTTTCAAACATGTAACAGTCAATATGTCAAAACACATAATTCCACACATATCCACAAGTATATTATCAATTTGCTTATACCTAGTACATGCTTGAAAGGAGTAGGAAGAAGTTAGACTTATCTAGTCCTACCCCCTAACATCATTTTTCTCTGTCTCATCTCCTTCCAGTGCGCCTTTCTCTGCCACTCTCCTCTTCATTGCCAGCATCTCTGTCCGATGAGACTGTGATGACTCCTGACGCGGAGAATGCTGTGGTCAGTCCCATCCTGCCTTTCCTGTATCTGGGGAATGAGAGAGATGCCCAAGACCTGGACCTGCTCCTACGCCTCAACATTGGCTACGTGGTCAACGTGACCACACACCTGCCCCTCTACCATGTCAGCTCTGGACTACACTACAAAAGGCTGCCAGCCACTGACAACAGCAAACAAAACCTTCGACAGTACTTTGAGGAGGTTTTTGAGTTTATTGGTGAGTCCCACCTCTGTTATGTTGTCATGTTTGTGTGTGTATATTGTATGTTGAAGAGAGTGAGTCAGCAGTATAGATTGAATGGGCAAGTTGCCTGAGGGCCCAGTGTACTCTGTCAGGTGGTCAAATTGCTTCAGAAACTCACTGCCCCCACAAGTTTCTGATGTCATTTTGAAAGGGAAGTGGGGCATTTCTGTGACTTTCCAAAACCAACAGTTTGACAGCTACACCCACTTCATACTGTAACTGATTTGGTGTGCAGAATTAAGAAAGTACACTGAATTTGAACTTATCTCTCTAGCACCTTTTCATTAGTAACAAGTATTTGAAGCACTATGAACAACCAAGTTTTGGAAGACTGTCTGAAAATATGCACTGTTATCTCTGTTTTTAACAAACCAGCTGACCACTCTATTTTAAAATTACATTTTAAAGTAAGTTGCCTAACACCAATAATTAGTGGAGATGACCATGTTATAATGTAGGCCAATAGGACAGGCATCTGCATACTGAAGTCAGCGGTTTGTGCTCAGCTGGAACTGTTAGCCAGGTGACCTGATTTATTATTATTTTTTAACTATTGCCACTCATATTCTAGTAGAAGAGATGTGTCAGGCTAGCAGAGGTGTAGTTTTGTGTTGTGGAGCCTTGAATATAAATAGGAACATAGATGTTAACACTCTATATTCCATCCATCCATTTTCCTCCACTTATCCGGAACCGGGTCGCGACACTCTATATTTTGATTTTAAAAAGACCTTGTTTATTCTTTATTTAGTGACACCTGTTGTAAACCTTGTTTAACATACAGTATGTTAGTTGTATGTATCAGTAATGATGTATGTTGTTCCAGTTTAATCCAGGCTTCATTGTGCTGGCTTTGTGCAGGGTATTAATCTCAGATGATGATGACATGCTCTGTATTTACAGAATGCCATTTTTACTTTTTTCTCTGAACAAGCTGAATTTATCTGTTTTCACGTTCTCCACAGAAGAGGCATATCAGAGCGGACAGGGAGTGTTGGTGCACTGCCAGGCAGGCGTGTCCCGTTCTGCAACCATTGTCATCGCCTACCTTATGAAGCACACCCTCATGACAATGACAGATGCCTACAAATATGTGCGGAGTCGTCGTCCTGTGGTGTCCCCAAATCTAAATTTCATGGGCCAGCTTTTGGAGTTTGAGAGAGACCTCAACTCTGGGGTGACTCCTCGTATCCTAATGCCTAAACTTAATGGTGTGGAGACACAGGTGTGAGAAAGGTCACGGGGTCAGGAGCACACAGGCTTACTGCAGGTCAAGAAGAGAGAAACTGGCAAGATTACAGTAGCATGAATGACTGTGAAAGAAAGAGCACAGCACATTTTAGAAGAGAAATGTGATGAGAAGTATTACAACTGGAAGATGTTGGTATGTTTGGCAATTAGTGTACTTTTAATGCTGTGAAACAAGAGACAAAAGATTGGGTGGTTCATTTGTTTAAGTAGCAACTCATAGACAACTTGATCATCGTCCAGTGTCCTGTTTATAAGCTCATGTGCCAAAATTTTGTATAGATCACTCTCTTTTTTTCTGATGTCTCTTGCTTCTTTTTCCCATCGTTTACATTGACAGCCACATGCAGAAATACATTTTTCATCAAGCATGCAGAACAAGAACGCACACATGGATAGGGTTCACTGCTACTGCTGTCCTACATCCACACCACCATTCTAGAGTCATTACAATGCATTTTACTTTCCTTGCATTTTTAAAGTTTGATTTATTATTGTCACAAGAAACTGCACAATATAGCAGCATGGACCTGGTAGAGATGTGAGTAGCATTAACCTGGGAAACCTTCTGTAAAAGAGATGAATCATTTCAGTGAACTAGCCTGTATATAAGCAAAGAAAAAATACTGCAAGTCTTAAATAATGCTGTGCACTGTATGGGTGAAGCACTCACATTGCACTGATATAAGCTTATTATTAAAACCTCAATTCTTTCAGACATTTTATACACTCTATAATTTAGTATGTTTGAGCAGAGGTATGGGTCCCTGGTAGGCTAGTGGTTAAGGCGCAGCGCTCTCGTCGCGGTGCCCCAGGTTCAAATCCAGGTTGTGTCAGGAAGGACATCCGGTGTGAAACACATGTCAACATGTGAGTTCTCAGTGTAATGATTTGCTGTAGCAACCCCTAAACTGGAAAAGCCAGAAGTGACTTTCTTTTTATGAGCTGGCAGGTGTTGTCCAGCTGTTAAATATGCTTTAAAATAACAGACCATCTCAAACTGTGCACTGTTTATTTCATGGTAAATTAATTTGAGAAGTATTCATTTTTATGATATGCAAAGAAGCCATGTAATGTTCAGCATGTAACAGTCCTGTAGCATGGTGCATGGGCTGATATTTCTGAAAATTTACAGAGCACATGGTAATCTTACAGTATTTATTGGCAACAACAATTAACATCCTGTTTTATCTGTGTGGCTGAGAACATAGACTCAAAATATTTTTTTCTGTTATGGTGGAAAACCTGTGTGAAACTCTAAGCTTTATTTTTGTAATTTTTTATATTCGGTCTTGACTCGTTTCTCTTGGCTTAACATCCTGTAGCAAATTACAAGTGTTATTTCCTTAATTGCAGTACCAGAAAGGGACTACTACATAAAGGGTAGTAAATTCATACCTAAATCACAAATGCTTTTACAGCCAAATCTGCTTTATGTTTTATTCATTTCATTTAATGCCTTTGTGAAAAAGTCAACAATCATCATTGTTTTTTCAAAGGTGGTGTTGTCTTAGCTGATTAGCTGGTCTTTTGTTACTTCCTCCACGTTCCTTTGCCTTATTGTCTTTACTGAACTTATTAACTGTGGCCCTCATGACTATGCATTAATTTTATTATAAAGGAGAAAGTTACTCCATTCACTGTGAACTCTTCTCTATTCTAGGGGCTCAAGCTTGAGTCCTACATGTTAAATAACAGTTATAGCATCCTTTAAAAAGTTATATCCTTTACAGCAAATCTACACTAAAGCTTCTGTCTTAGGTTTGGACATAGAAAGAGATTAAACTAATTATTTTTTTTTAAAAAGACAAATGTTTTACAGAGCATCTTCTTTTTACAAGACAATTACAAAAACTGTCCGATAAACCCATTATAAACTACAAAGACAGTGATGAATGCCTTCTGTGCAGCAGTCTCTTGAATTTGGGGCTAAAAGCGATGTGCAACAGTGTGATATTTTGTCAAGCTTACAGTTTCCTGGGAGGACGCTGTACATATAGTTTATGAGAAGAAAAAAAAAACGGAAATACAGAGTCAGCCATGGAGGCAAACGAGACTGAAAAGTTGGAGTCCGTCCAGTAGCGGTTGGTTTTATGGGATTTGTAGCTAAGTCAGCTCTGCTAGGTGAGTTAGGCATAAAAGGGTGGAGTTTGAGAAAGACACTCAGTAACCTGGCTGATAGTGCAGCAAGGTCCAATGAGTGGCTCTGGAGCAGAAGAAAGGTGTGTGAATGGGGTTAGGATAGATAGGTAAGTGCTTTGAAGAAAGTGTAAACTGCAATATATGTGTGGTTTATGCCTGCTAAGCTGAAGTAAACTAGCATAGGAGGACAGGCTTAACAAAAAATGTTTGTTACATGTGGCATGCTTGAGGCCTGTGTGGTTTCTGGTGCAGCTCAAAGGAAGAAGTTTGGCTAGTTACTTGGTGAGCTATCTGAAATTTTTGATTAGTTATTTTAAATGTCTGGTGGCTAGAACAGCAGTTGAGATGTTTGCTAGTGCTAGTGACTGTTTGGTAACAGTCTGAATTCGCATGAGTAGATGAAGGGTTGTTGGGTATGTGGGTGCAGGCAAAGAGAGGGCTAGTTTTGGGATACAGTGTCATAGGCCAAACTCAGTGAAACACCAGTTAGTGAGAAGGTGCCCACCTGATGACCCTGTAAACTTGCCTTCACTCCTACACCCACACAGAACTTGTATTGGTGTTGGTGATAATACAGTTAAAAACTCACTAGAATTGTTAATAGTCTTCTTTGTTTGACAGTCTTGGTAGAACATTGCCAGTGGAGGGGACCCAGCTCTCAGAGGTGACTGCTGTTAAAAGTCAGTTGGGCCAGCCACCGCTTATACAGTGCAGATGCTGTATGTCAAGTCACATATCTGCTCTTTGCCTGGGTGAGGACAGGGTTCAGGGATTCTTTGTGTTAAGGGTGGGTTAGGTCTGGAAAACTGTGTTGCTTATTGTGGGGCTTTGAAGACAGCATAGCCTGATACTCCCCTCTTTGGGACCAAAAGATGGGTAAACATCATGTAACTTGTATAATGAGCTTCCATATAAATGCTCCCAAATTCATTTAATTGTGTATTATTGACTGTGGTTTATCCAGCTTTGATTTGCAGGACATTTAAAGCATAGTTTTCTATTAAAGCTCCATATTACATCTGTGAAGTCACTTGGGAAGAATGGCTGAACAGGGGAAAACTGATGTTTTCTATTCAAATTGCTAAGGAGGAGAGTGATTTTCCACATTTTCTAAACTGATGCTAAAATTGCTGATGCTAAAATTTTTGATAACATGCTGTTATTGTATTCAATTATTTAAGACTTAAATATTTGAAAAAATTGTAAAAGCTTTTGCTAGCATCAATTAAAAACACTATTAGTATGATATACCTGCAGTGATATGGGGCATGGGGTCATTTGTGCTCGTTTTTTATTTGATTTGCATTCTCTTAGTCCTTTAGGATTGAGGAAATAAATGGTTGTGCAAACTGACATGACACCTGGGCACTCTAGAGTGGCAGGTGGCACAACACTATCACTATATTTAACTGATTATTAGTTATCTGACAACGCATCAGGTTAAAGAGGGAAGCCACTAGCTTTGGTGTTCATAAAAACCCAAACAAATCAGTGTATGTGACTGAGTGTAAACACTATACTTGAGGTAAAAGTTTAGGGAGGCTCAACAAAGCTTTGTTTTTTTTAACCAGGTCTAGTCACCTCTTTTCCAAGTTTTAACTCATGTTTAACAAAACACCCTGCTATAAGTTTCTAAAACCAAAATGCCTTGTGTAATTTGGTTCTCCAGTGTTGTCAGTTGTCAGACACGATGTTGTAAAATGTTGCTTGAATATTGCTTGTTGGTTTTATTTTCTGGCTAAGTGACTTTGATAAAGGCTATATATTTTTCTACAGTCATACTTCATCATGTTGGGTATACACATATACAGTATGTGTATTTACCATTTTTTACACGACTCTTTGTTTTATATGAAAGGCTTGTACAGAACAACATCTTCCAGCTCTGCAGTGACAATATGGATCTTCAACTGTGTGTTGCATTGCAGTATTGTAATTTCACTGTTATCAGGCCTCAGTAAATGTTGATCAAGACACCGTAATCCTGTCTTTACCTCCTGCCTTTACTTCACCATCACTGGAGAGACTTTTACCAAACATGCTGTTCATTCCTCCAGCATCTCCAGCTCAGCTAACAGTAGTAGTGATAACCTTTGAAGAGGGCCTGTTGCAATTGCTTCTTGATTTTATACAGACTTTATATGCAAAATGGCTGTTGAAGCAATTTCTTTATGGACTTGCTGTGCAGAGTCAGTGCTGACCTCTGACATTTACTTGAGTGATACATCGAAGGACATTGAACATTTTGTCTTTAATTCATATGAACTGAAGGGCCAGTGTCTCTTTGGGTGTCAGTGTGTGTAAAATCTTCTGTTTGTGTTTTGCACTTGAAAAGGTAAAGGCTGTTGGTGTGTGTATGATAAGCTTTTGGGAACATTGTATATCTGTGTGTTGATTATTTGTGGGAAATGAATTATTCCTATTTGTATTTCATGACTAATTTTTAAACATCATGTTACTTCCTGTACCAAATATTGAATTTAAGGATGTTGATTCATAGGAATGATGATAATGATTGAGATCACCTCCTTCCTTTTCAGAGGGGGTAAGAACTCTTCAGGTATGACTATCATTGTAATGCTGTGCTGTTTCACTCCAATGTCTGCTCTGCCTCCTTTAGAGACCCAAAACTCTTGTTACCTAACTTGTGATGCTCATGTCACTTCATTCCTTTTCATAATGGATTTTTTCTCTTAAGCAAATGTAATATTTTCATAGTAACTGGCCCTTGTAGTAAGAAAAATGTTTTTACCTTAATGTACTAACTATACTCCTCATAATTCTTTAAGGTAACTAAAGGTAACACTGTGACTAATACAATGCTGCTATATCACAAGGACTTTTATTTTGTATGTCACATTTTGCAGATGCAAAATGGTGAGTGTTACTAAAGATGATGGATGTGGGGGGAAAATAGTGGGCTTGAATGCAGATTCTTGCTTACATTGCTGTGCACAACCGTAGGATCTGTAGCTGTTCCTGTTGGTCTTCCTTAAGAGCATGATAGAAAATAAAGAGGGTAAACTGTAGCAGTAGAATATTTTTTAAACTCCATCTTACTGGTCACTGTGGTTAAATAAAACTCTGATTTTGTATTTTCGACAACAGTGCTCATTGTAGTGGAAAGTTTGTGTAGGTTCAGTCACCATTAATGATCATCTTTAGTTGCAGTATATGAGAGAAATGCATTAATATAGGAATATTTGACATTAATCTAGATTCAGCACCTATCAAAAAATATGATAATTTTAAAAACACCTAAATGCAGCTGAAATTTTGACCAGATGCTTATTTGTATCACATTGCCATGTATAATCAAAGTGTATGTGCGTATGTTGTGTTAACATGTACAGTACAGCAAGATCTGTTTTAAGTTTTCATTTATAATTTGAGTAAAATCAAACACATGAAAGATTTTAAAATAATTCTGTTTTCTTGCAATGCTCGCAACATGGCTCATGGTTTATCCGTCACTTTAGTCCAGACTGAAATTGCTCAGCAACTATTAGATGGATTGCTTTTACATTTTGTAGACACGCTCCTTCTTGATCTTATGCTAGCATAAGATGTTCAACATATAGCTTCTAAACATCAGCATGCTAGCATCATTACTGTGTGTCTGTTATCTCGCTGATAATGGCATTTAGCTGAGATCGTCACTGTGCTTAAGCTTCTAGTAGATACAGCTGTAGTCTTTTGTTTTAGACATACAACAGCCGAGATACATAGTCCCTCCAGCATGTCCTGAGTCTTCCCCGGGGCCTCCTCCCGGTGGGAAATGCCTGGAACGCCTCCCTAGGAAGTCTCTCAGGAGGCATCCGAGACAGATACCCGAGCCACCTCGATGTGGAGGAGCAGCGGTTCTACTCTGAGCTCCTCCCGGGTGACCGAGCTCCTCACCCTATCTCT